CAAAGATCACTGGTGAAAATTTCACCGGAGAAATTTTTTCATTTCACAAGGAACTGTGTACTTAGCTTTACAGGGAAAAAAAGCGCCGAGTGAAGTTTTGTCACCAGAGGGGGGGGGGGAGGAAAAACGGTTTTTGTTTCGCTGTCGACACAGAAAAAAGTTGCTCTTTTTTTTCTTGAGCACACATCAAACGAATGAAAATCACTGTGACATGAAAAATGAATGATAATTAATATGATGAAGCGATCTAGTATCTCGCTAATAGTTGGCCAATGTTTTTGCTTGAGTTGCGTCGTCAGTAACGGTTGTGTCTGTTCCAAAGTGATTACATCATGCATCTGCAATGCATTGCTGTCAATATGAATCCCATCACAGTTGTTGGCTGCTGCTTGGTGAATGGTGCACTTTGCGTATTACCGCCAACGATGGAAATTGCTTAACAAGAAGAAGCTACTTGTCGTCCTTTATCATGCTAATTAGGGCGCCTTGCTCGTTTATTCATTGCTCCAAACTGAGCCTTTGGCTACCAATCTAGCAATAGTCAAATTAGTTTTGAAGAATTCCCTTGGAATTTTCTCTTTCACTGAAGATTGGCACAATGTAACAAACGCTTTTCGAATCACGTGATATAATCGATATTCATTTCATGTGAACGAAACTTCCGTTTGGCCATTAAAAACAGCAACTGCAAACAGGCGTCTTCTGCTAATTTTTCTTCCTCTCTCTCCCGAGCAAGTCCATCGGTAAACGGTGAATATTGTAACGTTGAATGTGTGAACGTCGAAAGTGAAATGAGTTTTATATGGACCGTCAGTGAAAACAGCTAAAAATCTTTATTGAAAAGATCTCCTGCTAAAACATTGTTTCCACGAGGTTAGTTAGCACGTTTTGTTCGCCAAAAATACAATACAGCCGAAGATAAACTACACAAACATTTATCTTGGACAGTGTAGAAAATTAAAATCATGTTTTATTTAAAACGGACGGTTTTTTTCTGCTTACGTTTTACACATGAAGTAGAAAACAACAACAGCAGCAGCATCTATACTAACTAAATTGTAACATTTCCGTTTATTTTCTCATCTTGAGCGAGCGAAGCGAACAAAACGACCATTTTTTTCCTCGTCTAATCGTCAGCAGTCTCCATATTTGTGTATGTCGTTTATTTTCGCTTTCGCTCTCGCTTTCGGCCTTAAGCAAACTGAAAAAAAACTTTTTCAACTGTCTCCGGCACATACGTAGAAACGCTTACTTTGAATGGAAGCTGTTTGCACTAGTTAAACACCGGATTGGCTCTCGGTGCTGAAAATATAACCGATTTGTGCAGTCAGATGAACGAAAAATAAATAAACTGTGACAAATCGGAAGAGTGTGGGGAAGTGACACGGAATCACACCGAAAACAGAGATACAAAAAATATATTTCCAAAAAAATGCAGACAACGTTCGCCCTGCTCGCACCACCAATAAATAAATGTGAAACAGAAAAATTTTCAATTTAAACTTTTGCCGTAAAATCTATTCGATGTTTATGTCAAGCCATTGTTTTGTTTATTCGCGTGTTGGCTGCTCTGGTTGGTTTGGGTGCGCTTATTTTAGCATGGTATTTATCGTACAATTTGGAATTTATTGTGATCGAGAGGAAACCAGAACAAAAATTCTGCGCGGAAAATTCACACAAGCGAAAATATGGAGCAACAACACATGCTCCAAATCATTTTCCGCCAAATCTCTAGAATTTATTCTCTCTGACTCACGGTTTTTCCAGCGAATCAACTGCATTGCTGAATCACATTGGCCTTTATGCTCATGACTACGGTTTTATAACATTCGTTCAGCAAATTAATGCATTCGAAATGAATTCAGTCGGCATTTAGTTTTGCTTATATTTTCCATAATAATTTAAATTTTTTAGAACGAACGAACGAGTGTGTGTTTGAGAAAGCGAGAATGAGGGAGAGATGTAGTCTAGCAGTGGTAATTACATGCGCGGCAAAAATGTGGATCGAATTTGTTATGGCTAATTTGCTAGAAATTATTATACCCAAAATAAATGGTGGTTATTCGCATTTGAAAGCACGTGTGTACAAATATTGGGGGAAAATAGTGACAGGTTTTCATTAGTTTAATAATTTATTGCGGTACATTCTACACAAATGTGGATAGTTTGGCTTGCCGATAGTTGCGGCAAACATTTAATGAATTTACTCTGGCAATGTTTTCATTCTACGCGCAATGCTGAAAAATATGCTACAAATAAATGAAACACACGCAAATATTTACTTTTCAAACGGAATATTGAAATTTATTTGAAAATGCCGATTATTAATATGGTATGCAGTTCAGTTGTGATACTATACAAACATCTCATAAACTTAATAACTGTGTCACATGCGCTTATTGAAGGATACACCGAAATTTCAGCGCACCTATACATTCAATCAAATAATTAAATCCTGGGGTGCCTTTAAAAGCATTTAAAGTTAAAATTGATTGCGACCAACACTTTTATGACAACCCTTTTTGCTCCTATTGATAGAGCTGAATAAAAGGATTAAGTGAGTAAAAGCTTGAAAAATGAATGAACTGTGAATATGTGAAATGTGTGAGGGATAAAAGCATTTGTCAATGATAAAAATTTACCTTTGAGAGTTTTCAAAATTGGAATTAAATATAGTGCCATATTTATCCATTTTCATTATTGTTAGTTAACAAATAGCTTGCTTATATTTGATCTTAACAATTAACGAACAAGTGATGAAAAATATCATTTTAATTATTGGCAAAATATTGATACACAATTCTATCAACGTCAATATTGTTTTCAAAAGAACTTGACATAGTTTCTGAACTGGATGAAATTCAAGGCATGTATTGACGGATATGACGTTGCTCATTTCATCGCCGTTAAAAAAGTGTGAAGTGATTTGAGAAACGATGATGGAATGTCACTCGCAGACTTTCTCGTGAATGTAGAATATTCACATAATTAAACTTTTTTCAAACGTTTGCCTCTATTTTCATTCGAAATTGCGCCTATTTTTAGCATTAAAAAAAAATCAACAACTCTACTGAGCCGTCTCCGATTCCATATGGTGAATTAAAGCGAACGTGATAAAAACAAAGCCGTTTCACTCAGTTTCAACCGAATTGGCAATTTGCCTGCGATTCGTATATTTTCATAAGATCCTTGTGTTTGTGTGTGAATGAGTGTGTGTTCTTTTTCCTTTGCTTCGTCTGAAATGCTTTCTCTATCACATATTCGTTTCTTTTTCATTTCATTTTGCGGCGCTTGTGTTCTCTCAAGTGTATTCATTCGATCCGATTTTTTTATTTTATCCGGTTGTGTTCTCCTTCACTGCACTATTCCTTACGGTTTGATCGTAGATACGTGATAGCACACATTTAAAACGCCAAACAATTTATAAACGTTTCATCACTATCGTTGGTGTGCGTGTGTGTGTGTAGTATTTATAGCGATTTCCAAAAGTAACTGACAGTATGCGCGCTGCTGAATTAACGAAAGCAAAGGAAAAACAACAAGAAAAATGAATGAGCGAGAATGAGTGGAAGAGCAAAATGCTCAATGCTGAAGTGTGAGTACTTCAAATGGCAGTCTTAATCATATGATTGCCACGTTATGTGCATTTCGGAATTTGTTGCTCCGTTCAATGTGTGTATTGTCGCGTATCGCTGAATCGTTTTTATCACATTTCACCGAGTTCACGTTCTTTTTTTTTAAATAAAAATTCAATCCTATCTTTTTTTTCGGGTGAAAAAAGAATTTATCTCTCAAATAGAAATAGTTGAATAATAATCCGCTTTGAAGCGACTGAGAGCCATCGAATGCGGGACTTTACCAATCCGATAGTTTTGTGAATTTGAATGAAATAAAGTGTTTTGTTTTTTCTCTCTCCGCTTTGAATGAGTTCATTTTGTCATTGACGTTCGAAAATTGTTGGGTCATTTTGATCACAGCTTTCTCGCGATTTGAATTGTGGCACGTTTGCATTCAAGAAAATTACATTTACTCCGCGCAAAGTGTGTTGGTGTTGTTTTCAAAAAGCAAAACTGGATTAAATAAAAAGGCGACAGTTGCTTTACAATTAGTTCAATCAACAGAGTGCTTTTAAATCATCCATTTGTTAAATTTCGTCCTGGTATTTGATTAGACTGTGTGCGTAGTTGCGATGGCTGAAAATGGTGGTCCCAGTGCCGGGGAAATTGTCGATGATGAAGAGGAAAAATACAACTATTACGAATGTAAGTAGCACTTAGTTTAGTTCGTGCATCCATCTGCCAATCAATTTGCATAAGAAAGAAGAAAGAAAATGCAAACAAAAATCCAAAATGAGGTTCCGTCAGAGTGAGTTGCCAGCGAATGTCTTCATTAAGAAGTAAATCTTATAAACTTGTTTATATCGACGCAATGTGGAAAAGTGTAAACACAATATCGCTTACTCAATAATTCGCTACATCATAAGTATGAATATTGATTTCGTTGCTTGGCAATTTTAATCAAATCGAAATTCACAGCGAATGCAAATCGTTGCATCTTGTGCCAACCAAACTACGTATTATTATAGACATGCTGATTGCAGAAACTGAGAAGTAAGAACGCAATCAAGTTTTCTCCATGGAAGTCAGAGATCTCGACGTGAGTGTGTGTGCGCTAGTATAGTATGTGCGCCGATGGTAAACAAAAATACAACCAGCAGCGATGCAAACAGTATTATTGCAAATCGAACTACTGTTTAAACTCCTTCATTCGCCGTTTTTTTTTCTCTTCTCTTCACGGTTCGACGTGGCGAAGAAGTTTTCAAATTGAAGCGAAGTCACAAAGTCAGAGATGAGAGGAGACACCGAGAGTGTAACAACGTCATTCAAATACAATTTATCCTTCTTCGATCGCAATTTCATGCTGTTTGCTCTGCATGCAAACTGCTCTGTTTGTTACAATGACTTTTAAGCAGCAACTAACTGTGAACACAACGCAGTCATAATATTTTTCCCTACTTTTTTCGTCTTTCGCTTGAGTCTTTCACAGAAACCGTTTCTGTTTGCATTGAAATACATGCTCATGGTAAAAGACCAGAATAACTTTTCTATTGTGCAATGATTTTCAATTCAGACGACATGAATTTTTTTAAAAAAATATGAATCAAAGAACATTTGGTTAAACAAAGGACATTGAATTGAAAGTTAAATAAAATAACGGATTCAATAAACGCTGGGTTTTTACCTCCGAAGTTATCCAATTGACAAGTATCGATTTCCGAAAAAGAAACATTGAAACAAACTTGTGCCGTGTTGAAATTTCATCAGAAGCGATTCTTGCACACAGCCCACAGGCATCGATGAAAGTTTTACGGAAATGGCTTTCGAAATGAAGTTTGCATTGCAAACGGGGGAAATATAAGACCTGAATTGCTGGTTGTCGATAAACTTGCAGAAAAATAGACTGTTGCAATCGATTCAGAACGGGTGTGACCATTACAGCGTTACCTTTACATTTTAGGCCTACACCAAAACCAGACGCCAAACCGCCCATCATGCAACCAACATTGAACAACTACCACCACTAATGCTCACCAATCATGAACACACAGGATATCCAACTGAGTTCGAGTTTGTTTTGATTGCAAATAGCTTACTCAAAGCAACTTAAATAACTCCCGAAAAAAAAAACTGTTTTTCCTCCGTTCAATTGAATACATCGCAATTTGCCAGTTGATTTATTGTTTCAAACTGCTATTTTTTATTTGATTTCCTTCCTAAATTAATATTCATTTCGTTAATAATTTTCCGAAGAATTTTCGGATTTTTTTTCAAACCCAATTTGAAAGTATCATTAAAAGAACTCTCCATAATTTTCAAGAAAAAAAAAACTCATTGTGAATCTTAAAATCGGTTTGGTTTTTAGGCCAAATTTCGTTCGATAAGCTCTACATCTGCAACCACACAACGGGCCGTCGATTGATTTGTGAGCAGCAAATGGCAAAAAGCATTCGAATTTTCAATATTCGGTAAAATCGAATTAATGACTAATGAGGTTAAAAATTTGCCGATGGTTAATGGAATTCAAAGTCAAGCGCTTCAGCTCATCGTTTGATGTCTGTATCTGGTATTTACTGTATTTACTTTTATTCTGGTTGCTTCTATTTTTAAGTTCAGCCAACGATAGCACATAATAAAAAGAATTTCAATTCAAAATACTCGACCAAATATCGTGTTTAATTCCATTTCGATGCGTTTTCGTTGTTTTATCCGCTGCCTTTTCCATTATGTGTGCTAGTTTCTTGGAAAGTGCGAGAGAACGACTCAAATCCACTCAAATTACTACGGATTATGGTGATTATCGCATCGTTTGATTCATGTTTCATTCAGTCGGTTCGTGCTTATGGTATTTTCGCTTCTTTTGCCCATGTCCATTTGTATTTTGGTTTTCGTTCTTGGCCTGAGTATGTGTGTATGTTCTTTGGCTCAAAAATTTTCCATACACATATCGAAGCGAACAAGTGTATTGCTACAGACAAACAACTTGTTGCATCCTCTTACAAACATTGCCACACAACAACAAGAGAGGTAACATGATACGGCCACCATTGCTGTTCTCGTTCACACTCATTCTCACACTTGATATGTCGCTGGGTAAAATGTACACGCTATAAATATTCCGGCACATGTAATCAGATCCAATAATCGCAACGAAATTGAAATATGAGTTCCAGAGCTTCGCACACTTCGCCAAAAGTTGCACAAAGTGACACTTTCGAAAGCGAAAACCACAATACGTACGGGATACAGACCAGCCATGTTCTGATTGCATGCAACCTGTGATAGTTGGCAACGGCAACAAAGCAATTCTTTTCTACGAATGAATCGACATTTGGTCGAAAGGCGTGCTAAGTTCATGGAATAGTGGTGTTCGATAAGTGTACAAATAACTAAAAAATGTCTTAAAATCCCAAAGTAATTTCACAAAATGAAATGCTTATGAGTAGAGGTTCGAAATTGCCTCACAACAAAAGTCATGCGATACGTCTGGAGTGTAACATCATTTTGTGATTGAAAAGGCATTTGCAAGCATTGCGCTCAGTTTCTCTCAATTTGTCCCGATGAAACAGTGGTAAATTTGCTGAACTCTCTTTGTCTCTCCGCAACGCTGTGATATTCTGAGCCACATCGTGCAACGTGTATGCGACACAGGGCACTAATACACGCACGCTCAATTGCGATAGGGGGTGTTTTTTTCTGCACAGCTTTTCAACACAGCTGTTAGTGACGTTATCCGCAGCGAGAGATGGTCTGTGGCGCGCGCGAAAGCTTTTCGACTCTCTCCCCTTCGTCGCGCTCTCTCACGTCTTGATGTTGCCAATTCAAACTGCTGCTGCGTTGAACTGCGAACATGCCATAAAGCGTCTTCGTCGAAAGCTATCTCTCCGATTGGAGAATGGCAGTGTGACTTTATCCAATTTTACCATTGGTGTGTAGTCTTCGTCGTGGTCTCAACTGTTAATGACGGTTACGGTTCTAAATAGAAAACAAAGACAAATCGCGCACATCAAATCCCTCATTTCTGGTTCAAATGAACGTTAAACGTGCTAACAACCAAATCCATTTGACTCAGTGAACATTTGATTCATTGCTGTGCAATCTCAATAAAACCGTGTATTTGAAAGAAAGACATTTAATTGGGAAAAGAAAAAGTTCATTCTTTGAATTAAAAGTTACCAAATTGGACATTTGAAATTAACTTTTGTTTCATTCATGTGAAAAGTTCCGTGATTTGTGCTACAAACTCTAAAAAATTTGTTCAACCATACTCCTGAATGCGAACATATGTTTGCGCGAAATCAAATCCAAAGAAAATGTAATGTTCGGGTAAAATTAGACTAGAATCATAAGAGTCACACAAAGGGCGTTTCCCCGTCATCAAAAGATCCACGATTCAAATGAAAACAAACAAATAAAATGTTCATTTTTTTTTTCATTCTGGAAAATTCAAGACGTTAATTTTATTGGCTTAATCAATCGATTGATCGGCAATCCATAATTATTTTTGTGCAACATTAATAGCCGTTGTTCCATTCAGCGGAAGATCAATGGAATTTGCAGGCCACAAACAAAACAAGCCATGAAATCGGTTTTCATTTGATTTTAAGTAGTTTGTTTTGTGAATTTAATGTGTACGCGCGTGTGTATGTGTTTTGATGTTTGACCAGAAAGTCAATTTCGTTAACGATTTCCACGCATTTTTTTGCCATTCCTACATTTATTACGATCGTAACGAAACAATTTTATTGATTGATTCCGCCACGCTGTTTCGTGTGTAATACATGGCCGATCTCAAAAAATCATAGCCAATCAATTTGATCTAATTCCATTGGGCTGAAATTCATGATGCCATTTGAAATCACAAAATCATTCTCATGCTGAATTATTTCCTCTCTATTTGCAAGCACATTCGTATATCCGTATGGAACAGCTGCTAGAATAATAAATGCTTTAACGCTTCCCACCCACCCATCCACTCACTTCAAATCATTTTCGTTGTTCTCTCAATTTTCATGCCACGAAAAAACGATTAATTGCTTTATGATCTTTTCCATTTGCGTTTTACTGCCATCCATTTTTTACGATTTATTTGCTTATTGCATAAAAGCAAAACAAAGAGCGCGAGCGAGAAAACAAAACCGTCAACAACAAGTTCACAGCATCGCCGTTCGATAGCTAAATTGACGGAATATAGAATATTGAATATTTATTGCAAGCGAACGCATAAGTATCGCAAATATATGTGTCTTTACGATGTCTTCAATATAGATTGGGCGAGACAGTGCGATGATTGAAATGCCAATTGCACGCGAGCCCGTCAACAGCCCAGCAAACATTGCTATATGAATTCAAGCGATGAACGACGAATATTGTACGCTATTTACAAAAACATGCATCTATGATTGGTGCACAACAACTAAACATTTGTTAACGAATCAATAAAAGATTTTATGTGCTCATTGACTTGTTAACAACCGAAAATTTTTGCTTTTAAACTCGAATTTCATGAGCTCAATTTTCTCCTAAGCGTCTCTTACTTGATTTCCAACTCTTCTCTGCCCAATTGAGAGAGCCTGTTGTCATGGCAAGCACTTGGGAAAATGGTTCAGAACTAAAATGGTGCAGTAAATTTACATGGGATCGTTTGAATACTTTCCACGACGAGGCTTCAATCCCAATATTCCAAAACAAAAACAATGGAACCACAAAATCCAGACTTCGCGTAAACAAAACCCTTCACCGTAACATCGACATATACACACATCGAATGTTTGATTTAATTAGCGCATCGTTTCGGTTCACAAAAAAAAGTCAATAAAATTTAAGATGATTTTCTCTCCCTTCAACCGAAATTTTTAATAGAGGACAACGGCAGCGACGACAATAAAAACTATAAAGTGAATGCACTACATTAAAATAAGCGACGAGAAGCAGCGAAACAAATTTAATATAAACAAATATACTTAAAGTGTTGTGTTTGGCAAACAAATAAAACTTGAACAAACATTGCTACCAGTAAACAATAGCGCCAATAATTTTCGGTGCGATCCAATAAATATCTGTGTTCGGTGTGCTTCGAAAAGATAAAGGAAGCCTGCAACACACCAATATCGAATCGAAAGAACGAGAAATTGAGAAAGTTTTTGGCTAGGAAAATTAAAAGGTACGTATTTTTGAGCGTTACTTTTCGAATAGTTGTTGTATTCGGTATGTGTCAAAGCAGTGCGATGCGTGTTCAGCGTAAATCAAACAGCAAAAAAGAAACTTTGTCGTTCAGTTTCTTTGGGGCATTTTTCACTTTCATCTGTGGATGTGGTGTGATGTGGTTCAAGTGCTTCGGGTGCTGAATTAACTATGGACGCAACTCATAGACAAACAACTGCGAGGCGAGTCAGAAATCATTCGTTAATTATCCTCTGCTTGTGATCCAGCAGCAGCAGCAGCTCGGATATTCGAGTTTTATTGAATTTTCCCAACAAATTTATCAATATTAATGCGTTGGCACCAGAAAAGGATGTGCTCCATTCGTCTAAACCATTTCTGCGAAGATGCGAGCAGCCCAATGACCTTGGCACGCTAAAAATAACCAACTATCACATTTTATTTGCGCCGTTACCAGCAGCCAAATATACATTCCATGCGAATTGGTTAAGCTCCAGCGGAAGCACAAACACAAACACAAAGCGAAACTTCACAAAATACAGACACATCTAAAAATACGATGACATTTCGGAATGTGTTTTATTTGACTATCGACAACGTTAGTCAAACAATCATTCAATGCGAACCCGTGTGAAAAAATAGTAACTGAACAGTCAGTTAACTAATTTGGGACAAAAATGACTTACTTTGATTGACATTTCAGTACAAAGTGTAGTGTAAGTCTATCATAGTTAACTGAAATCATTTGAAGTTACAAGTCAATCTAAGTTGCTTCATTTGGGACCAAGTGATTTTCTTAGAACAAAAATATAAATTCAATCAACTAAAGTCAACTGAAGTTATAGTCAGTCAGTCATTTTTTTTTCACACGGGAATGAACGAAATGGTTTCTGTGCAAAAGTCCTTACGCAACATAAATAAAACGGCGACATAACAGCAAGGAAAACCGTTTGAAAATGGAAATATCAGCCCAAATGCTCTCAACTGATGGCAAAGTTTTAAAGTTGATACAAGGGTGAAAATCAAAATACGACCAATCACTTGCTAACAATCGTCGACATCAGTCGAATCCTTTTTTCCGTTTCTGCTGAAGAATATATTTTTCCGTCAGAGCATCATTATCATATCATTGGGATTGTCTGTTGGACTATGAATTTGGACTATGTAAACGCGTTTGGCCAGGGCTCTTTCTCTTTATCATTCGACAACTTCGCAATGATGGCGACACACATTTTCCATCCATCGTTGTTTCCGTTTTTCTTCTCATCTAATTTTTGCTTGCGTGTGCTTTTTAACTTGAGGCACCCAAAATGCGTAACGATATGCGTGTTGATCCATCGTATTTTTTGTTTTGTATTTCTCATTTTCGCCAACAATTGACTCGTCAGCCCGAGTTTCTTTTGAAATGCCTAACATGCGGAAAAATGCTCATGCTTGAACAGAACACAATTCAGGAATCAGTGCGCTGAAAAAAGACAAACAATCGCCAAAAAACGAGACAATCTGCCATGAACTTTGTAGTAAGAGCCTGCAAATAACAACAGACTTTGCGTCATAGAAAAAGAATCATTGGTTTTCACACACATTCACCGATGGAATTGAATCCGATGAGATTGTTTACATTTTTTTCCTCAGCCAACCTTTTGTGCGAATTTGTAATAATGGCACAACAATTTTCGCCTTTTATTCGGAACATTTTTCACAGCCCCTGCAGCAAACGAAAAACCACAGATTCGTTCAACATTCTTTCATCTTCCGGCCGTTCTTTGTTTTGTTCCACCTGCGTGAATCGAAAGAACTTTTCATTCACCTTCCGAATTTCGGTATCTCATTCACTCATTCGGTGGAATACAGAAAATTGCCGGAAAATTGTTGGAAAAAATGTAAAAAATTTACCACGATTCGGCGAAACATGAATTCAATTCGAAAAAATGTTCAATTTATAATCGTTTGAGTCAGCGATTCGATTGAATGGCGAAAAGAATGGAATTGAAAATAATCAACAATTTCACTTGATTTTGTTTCCTTGTACATCAATTGGTTTTTTTTTTGGGGCGCTCCGAATTGCTTGAACGATCATTGAAGTGGAAGTAACAAAACAATCCACTAAAAAATAAGTTAAATGTATCTAACATGAAATATCAATTTGTGCGATGCACAATGTATCGCAGAAATAGTCTCACATAGCGTCGAATCTTCTTTATTTGTGCACATTAAATGATTCAATGTAAAATGATTTTTTCCTGTTGAAATTGAAAAATAGACGTTCCATCCTTCATTCGTATTTGAACTCAGTGTAAAATTGGTGTGTGCCAATTTTCCCAATCTGTGCTCCAGTTCCCATTGTTTGATTTGACAATGTTTGCTTAGGATGATAGAGAGCGTTTGATGAATTTTCCGATCGAAAACATCTTTGCATCATCAATTGTTCATAAGCCATCATTGTTGCTACGAAAAAAATCAATTTATTTGCCAACGTAAAGTCGAATACTCAAGATGTAATCCTGCTTCTTTCAATTTAAAATGATAAATAAATTGAAATAATTTAACCCGATTACGGCATAGTTTCGACTTTTTTCCAACAATTTTCAGTGAACGTTGATAATTTCTTTTTCCATAATCTTGAGTGCTTTCAATTTCAGTAATCCCGATTCATTAAAAACAAATCGGTTTGAAGCCATCATAATTGAAGGTAAACATATATGATGAACGTTAATGCGCGGTATGAAAGTGATGATGCGACCATTTGAAAATTCATCAATCTGAGTGCATATTCTGTGAGAACCGAACTAATTCAGCTTGAAAATCCCAAATGAATCGAAGCACTTTCGTCGTGACGTCACAATCCAATTTCCATTGTTGAAACTCTCAGTTAAGCCGCCGAGAATTTCTTTTTACCTCGATGATAATCAACAGATTTTAAATTATCCATGTGGCAAGTTCAGAAAAAGGTCGGCATCCCTAAAGGAAAATGATAAAGCTGTCACAGAGAGCGAGAGCGAGAGCGAAAGCGAGACAGAGTGAACGCGGTAAAAGTCGACTGCATTTTAAAATTAAATGCTCAGCAATTGCAACGAGAGATATACGAAAAGTGCAAAGTGATACAGAAAGAGAGAGAGAAAAAGAGTCATGCAGCGGTACAGCGTGTGGCATTTCCCATAGATGCACACTTTAACGTTCAATTCCCAATAGGAAGCGATTGTAAAGAAAATTATGTTCAACGGGGAATGGATTTGAGTTGCGAGTGTGCATCCACGTTGATATAACATATGCAAAAATATTTCAATCCAAAATCATTGTGTGTAATGCGACGTGGAACAAGAGCAAGTTGGCAAGAGAAACAGAGAGAGAGAGAGAGGGAATAGTGGAAAAAGTGATTGCAAAAAGTCAGATGTGAATGCTACTGAATCATTCAGCATATTTTAATGCCGATGGCTTGTAGTACCTGCAGTAGATTTGTCAAGTGTATGGGATGGATTTATTGCGCTGATTGAATTAGAGATGCTTAAATAGACTTAAGTGGCTCAGTTCATCTTGGTCGGAATCACGGATTGCCTTCTCATGCACTTGATACATCGTGCTGACGAGTGAAGGTGACTCGTTATGTCTGTGCATCACAGAGAAAAGTTCAATAACAAGGGATAAAAAGACTGAAAGTCATCCCACAAAAAATTGCCATACTCGCCAAAGCAAAGAGAGAAAAATGGATTTTTCGTGTTGTCTTGATCTGTGATTACACAGTAAACGAAGTCGAGTGAGATGGTCGTCAAAGTGGAAATGAGTTGTGCGGTTTTTCTTTCCAAGTTATGAGTAATTAAATTTTTTTTTACTACTCTCCATATCAAAGCTCTGCCATTCTCTCCTGTGTAATGAGAAAAGGAAAAAGTTTGTTTTTCTGCTTTGGTCCACAGTTTTTCACTTTTTTCGTATCAATCTTTTGTACGAAAATGTTGGCAAAATGAAAAACACAAAATTTTTCTTCATCGCATCGCATCATTTCTTCGTAAATAAAATATGATTTATGACGAAATATTTAACGATTGGCTTTATTTTGTGTCTAGACCATTTTCATATCTTCATCGTCAGTTTGTTGGAATTTCGTTTTCAATTTCATGAACGGAAACAAAAAACAAGAATCCGGATGAGAAATTTGGAGGAATAACTAAGCTGGCAAAGAAAGCAAGAAAGTAACGAAGCCAAAGTGATCAAGTATTATCGATTTTCTGTTTCTTCCTCTACCCGTTTGGCAAATGGGTCTCTCTCTCTCTCTTCCACTTTTTTTCCCCAATACGCAAACCTACAGAACACAGCGCCACACATACACATATGAGCATTCAACAATGCTATTTATAATTTAACACCAACATCAAAAATGATTAATAATGCCACGATACATTAAAAGCGAATAGAAAATTCACAGAAGAAAAAATAAATTGTTCGCTTTTACCTTAACATCTTAATGTGCGCCAATGGAGAGGAAAGGCACTACTGTGTGGGGCCGACGTGTGCAGTAAATGTGAAACAGTAATCATCCATATGTGAGCTTTATTGTTTCATAATAGCTCGAATACGTCCGTATCGCACCGACATTGTTCGGGGCATGGCACACAAGAGCCCAATATATATAAACACACATATATAGTATACAACACGGATCTAGCTCAAAGATTATCGCAACACCGTATCGTTCCGTTTTCAATTTTACCTTCTGCCATCAACATAAATATAATTCGAAGCAAGGTAATGTCCGTAAACATACGAATAAGACGCGGCGTGAGTTCATATTCATTTCCACGCATGTATTGGGTTTCTTCTTAAGCGTTTACCAGGGATATCTTTGGTCTTCCTATGTACGCATCTTTTGCACAGTCCAGTTACGCACTCTCGTCACTTCGAGTAGCCGTTGGCAAAATTTCACTTCACATTTCCAAAACCGAAATACGCAAACGAAATAGTAAATAGTAACAAAAGAAAACATTGCATTGTTTCATACACGACAAA